GGGGGGCGTGATAAGAAAGGTAATTTCGACATATAGCCATTCATTACACAGTTCTTTCTTTCTCCTCAAATATTCCGTTCATGTGAGCGTTTGCCCCGCCTCCTATCAATCGTTCTGTACACTCGATAGGAGGCCAAGTGGTCCGAATGGTAGGCTAACGAAGAGCAAGACGAGGAAAAAAGGAAAAGAAAAAACAAAAAAAAGGGAAAACGGATCATGTCAGTCGCCTATTGACACGCGCACCTGTACGACAACATACTGTATATGAATTAAAACATATATTATACATTTAAGTTCATATAACAGTGGTTGGTGCCCAGTGGTTGGTGACCACCTCAAGGTCTCAATTGTCGGGCAGTCGTTGATGCTCAAACGCAACCGAGGTTAAGGAGGACTATCACGTTATTCATTGATTAGGGAACTCTGCAGACTGTAGAGGGTTCAGCATCCTGATGAGTCGGTGAAAGTCCGACGAAACAGTCTGTCACCGCCCCTCGTTAGTTGTCCTCTTCTGCCTCTTTGCCTATGGTTGACCGGGCAGCTCTGTTTGACGATATATACATAACGTACTAGTAGTAAATGGAAAAGGTGCTGTTCTCATTCTATAATTGGCAAGGGCGAAGACTACAAGTAGAAAAGCATGATAGCTACGACAGCAATGGATGAGAGACTGACCTCTACGATCTTCTGCTCCAGCTCGATAAGAGGCTTCTCGAAGGGTAACATGAGCGGTTTGCCTTTGGCACCTGACACGGGCTTGAACTTCGACAAAAACGACAAAAAGCCGGGTTTCGCGCCTTGGAATTTGTCAGGCCAGGGGTAGTCCGGGTCCCTCTTGGGCTTCTTCGCCATGGCAATCGCCACACCACCTAGTCCCCTCCTCCCTCTCTCTGTTCTCACACTGTGCACTGGTCCTCCCGTCGACAGCCTGTCTCTCGAAGCGCCACAGCCACCACTCCTCTTCTTGACACCACCAAGGGCAAGTCGTGTGCCGCTCATCTCCCTTCGAAAGCTACGGTGGAAGCACACTTGTCGGCCGTGGGCCGCCGCGTCGCGCGAAGGCGACCGTACAAGAGAAGAAGACACAGACGAGGAGCAGGACGGCGCAGCTCCGCTATTCCCCACACCATAGTCACTCTCGCTGCTGCTGACCTTCGCAGCTTGTAATCCAGGCGACAATGACCCAGTTAAACAACCCGCCACAGCCGCCATAGCCGCCATAGCCGCCTCTTTACGTCTTCTTCTTCTTCTTTTTCTTCTTCTTCTTCTTCTTCTTCTTCTTCTTCTTCTTCTTCTTCTGGTGCTGCTGCTGTTGCCTGCTGCTGCTGATGCCTCTCCTTTCTCTTCTTCGTCCCCTGACCCGCCCCTCTGCTTAACCTACTTGCCTGTTTTCCCTCTCATGCCGTGTAGCGGAAACAGACCGCAGCGTATGAAAAAGAGTTTACGAATAGATGGGGGCCGGCCTAGCTCTCTCTCTCCTTCTCGCTCACTCTCTGTGTGCGTACCTTGAGTCTATGTATCAGCGTGTCTAAGGCGTGGAGAGAGAAACAGGAGGAGGGCTAGGGGCAAACGAGACAGCGCAAGAGAGATGAACAAGTTCTCTTCTTCTTCGGATGCCAGGCCAACAGAGAGGATGAATGCGTCTGACGAGTCGAGAGATAGGAGAGAGAGCAGGCGGGGGCTGGCGGAGTCCGCTTCTTCGCCGAATGGCCGCCAACAGATATGATGAAAGCGCCGGACAAGCGGAGATACAGGAGAGAAAGCGGGAGAGGTTTGGGTCCCGCCAGCAGCGTTGTCGTTGTCGTTATTACTAGTAACAACTGTGCAACAGATTAGCTGGCGGGAAGAGAGCGCAAGAGAGATGAACGAATTCGCTTCTTCATGGAATGCCCGCCTAACTGGCGAGAACGAATGCGCAAGACGACTCGACAGATAGAAAAGAGAGCGGGCGGGGGCTGAGTCCCGCCAGTAGCGTTGTCGATGTAGTTATTAACAGCTGTGCGACAGATTAGCTGGCGGGAAACGCGCGCGTATCCTAATGGGCCTCGTCGCACCACTCGCCAAACAAATGTGCAAAATAAGAACGTATCTCCCGCTATAAAATCGATACATACCCCCGCCATATTTGGTGGGAGGTTCGGCAAGGCCCAATGATTCCTGTCCCAACCAGAATTCTTGGGTGGGGCGCGGTAATGTGATGGGCGCATTCGACGTCGGGGAGCCCGCGTCAGGGCTGTCAGTCTGTGGAGATTGAGACAGGCAGTGGTCGGACGGCTTGTATGTGCCTGGCCGTATGCTGTGTCTATACTCAGTGAACTGACAGGCCCCAGGTAATTCAGTCTGATATTATTCTGGTCATCTGAGGGCATTACTCACATGAGGACTTTTTGACTTATTTCTAGGCGGGATTCCGGCCAGATGCATCCGGGCCAGCCCATAAATGGGGTCAGAAACATGAAAAATAGTGCTGATGTGAGTATGCCGTGATACTGGACTCGAACTTTGCCCTGATTTCAACAGTTCGCGGTTGGCAGGTAAGGTGTTCGAGAAGCCACTACTATTGTTAGAAGTGAACTGTTGTCCAGGATTGACTTACTGTGAGGGCACGGGTGCGCAGCCCGTAGTTTGTTTGTTGATGTGGTTAGGGAAGGGTAAGGTAGTGCTTATGCTGTACGTATGTTTTGTCATGTTTGCTATACACAACTCCAAGAGAGTGTGTTGGTGCTTTATTCACAATGTTCATGGGACGCTGGACCCAGTTTCCAGCAGGTGGCGCTCCCCATCAATAGACAGGAGTGTGTGTTTGTGTGTGTGTGTGTGTGTGTGTGTGTGTGTGTGTGTCACGGTGTGTGTGTGTGTGTG